TTGTGCAGCGCTCACTCTCGCAATGAGAGCACTGACAGCGGTCTGAGCGTCAGCAGCCTACCCCGCACGACGGACCACATGCTGAGCTCTGTGGAGCACATGGACACTGGTAATGTACCTAAACACACAACATCCATGACACAAAAACACAGACTTGGGTTTCTGTGGTGGGGAAATAAGGCTTTTGATTAATCATCCATCCACACTCTAGCGAAACCAAATTAATGATTAACACAGTGTAAAGATCTTATCCTAGCATCCTTTGTTTTTAGTTGGGGTTATTTTGTGAGAGTAAATGTGTCGAAACTTAAGCCACTGACAGTGAAACTGAAATTCAGTGCAGTTTGAAATCTTTTGAACCTTTTGTTGATTTAAAGCAACATTTTTCTGATTCGTTCAGGTGACTCGGAGCCCCCCTCGATGGCCTTGCAGGACTCGATGCCCGTGCTCCCAATGTCCGAGGGCGAGGAACTGATGCCCTGTATCCCAGAGGGTCTGAGTTCAGACCTGCTGATGGACATGGAGACCGTTCTATCCGGCTCGCACATGGACAGAGACAGCCTGCTCACCTGGCTATAGACACGACCAGCCACTGGTCCAAATGTAATTTGGCATCAAATTTCCATAACGTGACTGAGAATTCTGGTGGATTTTTGGCTCCAAAGGTGGTACAGAACAACATTACAGAGAGAATATGCTACCGTTGTGTGATGGATAACCTAACACTACTCACATCCTGAGGAAGAAGGTGGTAAGCTGCTGGTATTTTACTCTTTTTGGCCCTGGTTTTAAAGAGAAGCACGACAGAACATCCATGTTTTCATTTTTCTAATAACACGCCATTCTTTTTAGTCTTTACTTGGTAGCTGGTTTGGAACAAACTTTTAAAGTGCCCCGTTATACTCATTTACAGGTTCAGAATTTTATTTTAAATGTTTACTAGAAAAATCTATAAATGATTTTTTTAATGCTGGTTTTCTCAAACTGTACATTTAAAAATGCCTTGTCATTTACACTCCTGTCTCTTTAAGATGGTCACTAAAAGGCTGCTCTGTTTGGTTGGTTGAAATGACAAAAGCAAGGAAACACTGAAGAGGTTATGAAGTTAACAGGTTTTTAACAGTCTAAGAGGCGTTGGGTGCAAGCAGAAAAACATTATTCACATTAGGATTAAATTCAATAGTTGATTATTTTCTCTCACAGAGAGCATTTTGCATGTAATTAAGGCTAAAATCACAGCACTCCTATAGTTTTTAACATATGTCAATGATGTTTCTGTCTGGTCGAGGAACTCTAACGTTAGGTACATTTATAATTACCAACTCTGTTGGTGATACAAGGGTGGCCTGCATCTGGATTTAACTAGTTCCTCGTGCTTGCTTTTGGGCTCTGCAAAACTGCCAAGTGGGTAATATGTGTTACATAGTGAGTTAGATGAGTAACGGAGGAAAAGCCTGAACTGCTTAGAAAGCCCCTCAAACTGTTTAGCAATATCATGAAGTCCAGTACATGGTGTGGCATGCAAAAATTAATTGTAAAACACTTTAACCAAAAGGTGGCAGTGTTTTACAATAAAATTTTAGTGTAGTTGTCCACGCAACAAAATGGAAGTTTGTTTCTGCCACTTGAAAGAAAGATCTGCAAATTCTTTCTAAGTTGAAATTTATCTCAAAATTTAGATTTTTAAATTTTTAAAGTTCCAAGTTAAGTTAAAAGTTTGAGATAATTAAAAATTTTAGGAAGTATGTTTAATTATCACCTACAAACCCCCCCAAAACTGTGCCATTAACAAGCTTTCTTACACCCAGAAATGCATTATTTTATGTGTTTTTCAAAATATTTTGTGTTACTATCCAAACATATGAACTTTAATATTTCTTTTTTAAAAATTATACTTTTTTTTTTACCCAAATTATTAGGCTTAATATGATAGTAGCATGAATTCTGTACACATGTCACACTAACACTAACTTTTATCATGTTTGAACATCTCATGCTGATCTCAGCAGATTAGCTCACACAGAGTAGAGACTACACTGACACAGTGCGCCGCCTTGTGGTTCAAAGTGGTATTACAGAAGAGTACAGGCCAGCCCCATTTACTCTTCAGCTGATATCATGTTTGCAACACACAGACATCATCGCTACAATAAGATCCTTTCAACATTCACAGAAATAACAACAGCATATTAGGGGTACTTTAAAAAAAACAGAGTGAATTCACAAAAAGAGCATTTCAAAAGAATAAAAGTGGTACAGAAGCGATACGACGTTTTGTTACACACACTTTTAGTGGGTTACTACGTCAAAACAGCCTCTAAATTCAGATTTTTAAATGTACATGTGTGCTAAAAACAACAACAACAAAACATTCCTAGCAAGGGTCAGAACTAAGCAATCAAACTCAAGAACTAACATTAGGTGCGTTATACCTGACTAAAGACCACCTGCTGAAAAGCTGCCACTTTTCTGGTTTAGGGACTTGATGCACTCTTGTGGTGTGACTCTATAGAATTTGTCATGAATGAAGATGCTAAAAGGAGTCGCATTTACTTCCAAACCTTAAAAGCAGTTGTTTGAAATCCTCACAAGCAGAAGTATTAAAACTTGGTCTAAAGACCTGACAATTCAAAGTCTGCCATTAAATAAAAATAATAAAAAGAGCTACAGAGTGATGCCACCATACAAAGGAGTCTTAGTTTGAAGACTAAAACTAGAATATAATCTGCTTTCAGGAGTCCTCCTCACACAGAGAGGAACTGTTACAGAGAACATCTTCAGTGAATGATCTCATGATCACTGTAACGCAATGTCTCCCAATACAGGATTTTCCCCCGGCAAACGGTAATCCCAACTCATCTGGTGATTTGATGAAGTTTATTAATTAATTAGCCCATCTCTGTTCTAAAAAGAAACCCTCACACCGCTCTGATGTAAAATCTCTGCATATACAGTTACTAACATACAGGTTTTACTTGTCTTGTTGCCATGTTAGGTTGCATTTTATTCCCATGATTTTGTGCACACAGAACTGGATTGAAACTTCACAAGTATGTGTTAGAGATTTGTTATACTGGATTGCGTAGCGTGTGGCTGCTTTGTCCACTCCTTTTCTTTGTTGGGTTTTTTTTCTAACATAAATTAAATCATCTGCCAGCATTCCTCCAGCTTTGATACTTAAACTGGTTTATTCCCTTTTTTGGCTTGAGGCAATCCTAATGATTCTCCTCGTATAACACCAAAGCACCACCTCCACACAGAAAAAACGTGCAAGCCAAGTTTGAACTTCTCAACTGCAAATCAGCTACAATTTTTATCATTGCTGTTTATTTTTCAGATGCACTTTTCTACTATTTCAGGCATCCAGTCTTACCCCTTAGTTTCCTAAATTGCAAATGCATCAAAATTAATGGGGAGGATGTCAAAGGCTAATTGATTTTCTCATATTCAATGAAACGATAAGTCATGTGTCTGATTTACATTATATTATTTTTAGAATATCTTGTAGAAGATGCAGTCTTTCATTTGGGCTTGTTGTTTATTAACCAGTAAAATTTACTGCAACAACTAACCTGTTTCACAGTCTACAGCTACTTGATGTAGATTAGATGGTTTTACAGGAAAGCAGTTTTGCATGGATAGGAATGCATTAGATGCCTGGAATAGTAGGAAAAATACAATATTATCATAGAGAAATAATCTTTTTTTAGTGCTAATAAGATATTGATTTGCTGCCACACTGTAGAGTTAGAATTGTTTGTGGATCAAGCGAAACGTGTCGTGCTTCATAAAAGGACTTCAGCATAAATCAAAGATCCTGTTCTGACTTCTCCAAAAAGAAAAATACTAAATGCGGATGCTGTGTTTGTAGTATATATTGTACTCTAACTGAAAAGGCTATCTGAAGTTGCAATGCAGGAGGCAAACATCAGCTGGGGAGCAGTTTAATTCTCCCTTATTAGTAAAGCTATGTAAGAAGTGTATAATCTGTTTGGTTTTTTTGTTGTTTTTTAACTGCTCGGTTGTTTCTGCAGTGTGTGTTTGTATATTTTATCTAAAGTTGAAGCTTTTAATTGTTGGTGAAAGAATTTCCTCTAACCAGCATTGTTAAATATATCTATTAGTATACAGTATAGAGTAAAAAGGTATAATTAACCCTCCCCCACAGTCAACGTTTTGTGATGTTTCCTAAAATTTAAGTACCAAACTTACTGAGCGGCTTACTGCTCGTACACATAGTGCAACACACTACCTAGCCTAATATTTATCTGAGGATGCATGACACTTGCTATGTATGTTACATATAATGACTTTTGTTATCCTATTTACAGAAAGTTTGGATGCAGTCAGACTTATTTTATACCTTTTTATGCATGCGATTTATATAAATGTTCTTTGTAATCATTTTAAAGGAGTTTCTGTTTAACAAACTTTTATGTACCCCTAAATAAAAACATTGTTTCTTGTGATGTGCTGAGTTTGTATTGTACTTTTCGTACCAAACAAAATACTCTCCCTTACAGTTCTGAGGTTTTTATGTATTAAAAAACAATAAATGTAATAAACTTACTGCTTCCATAGGAATTAAGAGGGTATGAAATTCACTAGATTAACTGATCATCAGCAGGTGTGGGCACCTCTATAAAAGCAGACGTTTTGGAGCATTCAGGTGTGTATTAACACAATGCCTAGAAGGAAAGACATCAGCAACGATCTTAAAGAAGCGGTTGTTGCTGCGCATCCATCTTAGACCGCCTTTATTTCTTGTTTTCAGTAGCAATCAATGCCTATGATTGTCCCAGAGCACATTTTGAACAACACCATGGGCATTTCACATTTCACACAGGTGGCTAGTTGTTACACTCTGGAAATGAAATGAAGGTGAGTGTTATTAACTCTCTGGGGTTGTATAAGCGGTTATAAATCATTTTGTAATGACATTATGAAAAAAGAGAAAAAACCCTCCTTTCTATTGGTGGAAAAATGTACCATGTCAACCAGTTTAACATGGTTGTTTAGGAAGAGGGGAGATTTTTGGGAGTGATGGCAGAGACGCATAGAGAGAGCAAGTTTCGAGATGTGACAGATTTGTGACGTTTAGCATGGAGTGTACAGTTAGTGTGTTGTGTTGTCTTGTGTAGTTAGTATATTCGTTGTTTCGTTTTGTGTGTCAGTAAGGCACTAATGAATGTCACAAAGGTAGATTGCAATGTAAACACTGTCCCCAGGTGGATGCTGGAGACAGTGTCTGCTGCTGCCTGCATGCCTGCTGCTGTCAGGCCTGCAGGTTTTAGGCCAGATGCATTTTTAGATAAATAATTGTATATACAGTGGGGCAAAAAAGTATTTAGTCAGCCACCGATTGTGCAAGTTCCCCCACCTAAAATGATGACAGAGGTCAGTAATTTGCACCAGAGGTACACTTCAACTGTGAGAGACAGAATGTGGAAAAAAAAAAAAAAAAAAAAAAAAAATCCATGAATTCACATGGTAGGATTTGTAAAGAATTTATTCGTAAATCAGGGTGGAAAATAAGTATTTGGTCACCTCAAACAAGGAAAATCTCTGGCTCTCACAGACCTGTAACGTCTTCTGTAAGAAGCTTTTCTGTCCCCCACTCGTTACCTGTATGAATGGCACCTGTTTGAACTCATCATCTGTATAAAAGACACCTGTCCACAGCCTCAAACAGTCAGACTCCAAACTCCGCCATGGCCAAGACCAAAGAGCTTTTGAAGGACACCAGGAAAAGTATTGTAGACCTGCACCAGACTGGGAAGAGTGAATCTACAATAGGCAAGCAGCTTGGTGTGAAAAAATCAACTGTGGGAGCAATCATCAGAAAATGGAAGACATACAAGACCACTGATAACCTCCCTCGATCTGGGGCTCCACGCAAGATCTCATCTCGTGGGGTCAAAATGATCATGAGAACGGTGAGCAAAGATCCCAGAACCACACGGGGGGACCTGGTGAATGACCTGCAGAGAGCTGGGACCAAAGTAACAAAGGTCACCATCAGTAACACACTACAACGGCAGGGAATCAAATCCCGCAGTGCCAGACGTGTTCCGCTGCTGAAGCCAGTGCATGTCCAGGCCCGTCTGAAGTTTGCCAGAGAGCACATGGATGATACAGCAGAGGATTGGGAGAATGTCATGTGGCCAGATGAAACCAAAGTAGAACTTTTTGGTATAAACTCAACTCGTCGTGTTTGGAGGAAGAAGAATACTGAGTTGCATCCCAAGAACACCATACCTACTGTGAAGCATGGGGGTGGAAACATCATGCTATGGGGCTGTTTTTCTGCCAAGGGGACAGGACGACTGATCCGTGTTAAGGACAGAATGAATGGGGCCCATGTATCGTGAGATTTTGAGCCAAAACCTCCTTCCATCAGTGAGAACTTTGAAGATGAAACGAGGCTGGGTCTTCCAACATGACAATGATCCAAAACACACCGCCCGGGCAACAAAGGAGTGGCTCCGTAAGAAGCATTTGAAAGTCCTGGAGTGGCCTAGCCAGTCTCCAGACCTCAACCCCATAGAAAATCTGTGGCGGGAGTTGAAAGTCCGTGTTGCTCGGCGACAGCCCCAAAACATCACTGCGCTCGAGAAGATCTGCATGGAGGAATGGGCCAAAATACCAGCTACTGTGTGTGCAAACCTGGTAAAGACCTATAGTAAACGTTTGACCTCTGTTATTGCCAACAAAGGTTATGTTACAAAGTATTGAGTTGTATTTTTGTTATTGACCAAATACTTATTTTCCACCCTGATTTACGAATAAATTCTTTACAAATCCTACCATGTGGATTCATGGATTTTTTTTTTTTCCACATTCTGTCTCTCACAGTTGAAGTGTACCTCTGGTGCAAATTACTGACCTCTGTCATCATTTTAGGTGGGGGAACTTGCACAATCGGTGGCTGACTAAATACTTTTTTGCCCCACTGTAACTTTGTTTACAAAATGTGTACATAGGTTTTCATAATTTATTATTTATTATTGCATTTCAAGTTATGAAAATAATTTGCTAACTATTACTAGGATTTGTTTTTTGTGTGATTTCAGATCAGTTGGGATAATACAGTATGTCAATGGAAAAATAACTGTAAATTCAGACATGTGAGATTGAGCTGAAAACAATGATACCAAGCAAGGCAAGGTAAAATAAATAAATAAATACATAAATAGAGAAAACAATTTGAAGATAAAAATACAAATGTAAAACCAAAAGTAGCCAAAAATCACCAATTATACCCTGGACCTCAGAAGGTTAACTCAAAAAAAAATAAATCATCGGGTATAAATTGTTGTTCATGACTTGTGCAGGTTTCTGACACTTTGTGTAAAATTACACATGTAACAATCTGATTTCATTTTTTTTAAACAAACAAAGTATGAAACTTAAGTTAGAATTGTTTTTTGACTTGTATTTGTAAATGAACCGCCCCATGTTGTGGAGCTTTCTGGATTTTACATTTATTGGGCTACATATTTATTTATTATACAGGCTATACGATACATATCACATGTGAATTTGGATTTTATGTCACTGAAATGTTTAATTATGTGGGCTACAGAAAATAATTACATTATGGACTATATTTACCACCCAATTTGATTTCCATGCCATCCTCATGCCACCCTAAGAACATTTCTCCAGGTCTGCCCTTGTGAAACATTGGAGTTGACAAAGGGTTTTGTTTCTTTCTTTCTTTCTTTTAACCATAAAAGACACATTAATGGCAACTCATTCCACTTCATAACAACTGGCAACACAGATGCTATCAACCATCCAACCCACAGCCATGAGCATTGTGCATGCTCCTCTTGTGCTTACATGGGTGGGCACTCCAGCTTCTTCCTACAGCCTAAAGAGGTAGGGGTGTGTGTGTGTGTGTTTTTTTTATGTATAAATACTTAAATGGTGATTTTAAGCTGCTTGATCACTCAGTTATTGAATCAACACCACTGTCAAGTGTACTTGCTTTGTCTCAGACAGCATTTGGGGCTGTCTCGATTCTCGGTACATTAATGTGTTAAGCAAATTTCCCCCGAGGGGGGGGGGGGGATTTGCAGAACAGTGAAACCTTTATTCATACTGAAATTTTAAATTATTCAGAAAAACAAAGACTTTGCCGTTGAAGGGAAATTTGACGAAATTTTAAGAACTTCACGCTGTGACTTGTGGGGGCGTGGTGTGAAGGGAAAGCCCGAGCCACATGCATTCAGTCATTCACGGGTTTAAAATGATTCACTGCATCGAAACGACTGCCTTGTGTTCACCAAGCCCTCTAAGTAAGTATCTCATTTAATGGAATTTTTAAAAAAGATTTTTATTTTAATCTAATAATCCTAAAATGTGACAAGATTTAAACTTGTGTCAGACTGTTGTTGGATTACGGAATCTCCTGTAAATGTAAGAACATTTCTATATTTTTAATTCATCCACGAAGTCTTACATAAAAAGGTGAGTAGTATTAATAAGCTAGCTCATGTAATGTGGCTCTTTTTGTGTTGTTTAATGTGAGCTGACACAAAAACTGATTACTGTAGGGTCTGTTAGTGTATCAGTGGATTTTTAGTGGATTTTATCAGTGAAATACAAGCGAGAACATTTGACACAAAACATGCCGTTTTTAGTTTGTTATCCATCCAACGTGGCGACCTTTGGGACCCCAAGCACGACTTTCGGATGTAGGGACTTACCTGTGGGATATCTTATCGATTCATTCATATTTTGGTTCGTTTTAACCGGAAGTAAACTCGTGGGGGCGTGACCAGAATTTTCGGGACTTTCCGAGCATATTGGAAAGCGGTGAGTTAGCACAACAGTGGAAAGGACATATCACGCCACGTTGCTAATAACGTACCGTCTGGCGTTTTGCGTCACGGACATCAGCTAGTTTTTATTTCCCTTCCTCAGTGTTGTGGCCCCGCGCGTTAACGAAGCGGAAAGTGACTGCAATTCATGTTAGCAGCCGTTAGCATTAGCAAGCTAACGCCCGTTGCAAAGCTTATAATCATATCTTTCTTTAGCTGCTTGCTAACCGTGCGTTTTGGGTCATACTTTGATTGTGCGAAAAAAAAAAAATGTAAATAAACCAAGTGCCCTCCTAACCTGACATGTTAATTGTTAGGACACATTAAATGGCTAAGACAGGAACTCTGTTGCGTAATTACAGACAGCTGGTGTGGAAAGTACCTGGCGGAAATACCGTACCTGCCACTGCAGTTTACAGCAAGTCTTATCCCTTTTCTCCAAGAATGAGAGCCCACGTTTGAATGCGGGCTCTCCTTGTCAATCTTCGCACTTTCAGTTTTGATTTATTAAGAAGTCAGTGTCAGGTGGGTTATAGGATCGCTCCAGCGATTTTCACATGAAGGTCAGTAGATCTGTCACAAGGTCTAGCTGCCATTTGTTGTGTAATGGTTTTGCTCCGAAACTGCTCTCGAAAGTGACAGGAATCGATCCTAATTTTATGTTTCAAATATATCACTTTGGAGACTTAAGCTTTAGCATCAAAACAGTTTGACATTTGTTTCTGTGACCTGCCGTGTAATTTTATATCAACTGAGCCTGCAAGATTTTCACTGCTGAAATGGCCATGAAACATAACTACAGCATGTCTTATGTATGTTTTTTCCTTGTCATTTACAGATTCTGCTGATATAAAGGAGGCACTCGTGTTACCCCTGGAGGATTAATTTTTTTTAGTGTTTTGTTTTTATTGAATTATGAACCCTTAAACACCCCCAAAAAGGGATGTCCAAGATGGGGGGAGGGGTTTGAGAGCAGGAATTCCTTGGTCTGTGTGTGTGTGTGTACATCTGCTAGAGGCAAATTTAACATGTTTTGTTTGTTCGCATAACCATATGCTATATGTTTGAGTTGGAGCGGTTTGGTGGCATGTCAGATATGTGTTTCCTAAGCGTGCATAACGATCCTGGGTGATGTCATGTTTACGTGTGCATTTTACTCACCCTGTGTCATTACTGCAGAGGATGGATTTTGTTTGACGTTCATCTGCGTTAACTGTGGCTAAAAGAGAGATGCTGACATTTAGGCAGTTAAATGTTTAGGTTCAGGTGTACCTCTTTGCTAGGCATAGGTAATATGCATGCAAGTAAAGATTGCATCATGGTTGTGGTGAAACTAAGATTTTTTTTTTTTTTTTTGCACAAGAGCTCTTAAGCTTTAATTATCTTGATCTCGCTAAGAGCTCCCTCTTTTGCATCCTTATCCATTCGTCTGCTTACCTCTTCGGCATTACTGAGTGTGTTTGTGTGAGAGAGCAAGACCTTGGGTTTTCTCAAACCCCTCTCCCTCAGAGGGACATCTCTTTTTCCTTATCTACTGCACTAAATTCCCAAAATGGAAACTCTTCTTCAGCTTAAAAACAATCAGTTTTTAATGGGTCTGTTTCGCAATGGGCCTCCACCTGAACTGCAATATGATAACTCCTCAGGTATATATGTACATTTTTTTTCTTTTGAATTTATTTGTATCTTACCTTTGAAACTCAAACAATTTGTTTTTAATCTCTAGAGCTCTTCCGCATCTCAACCTTTGCTCGATTCCCAACATCTGCGGTCACCGAACGAAGTCTGGCGAGAGCAGGTTGGTTCTACACCGGCGTGGGTGACCGCGTGCAGTGTTTCAGATGTAACGTGACAGCTGAGGGCTGGCAGCCCGGCGACTGTCCAACAGAGAAACACAGACAGCTCTCTCCTTCCTGCTCCTTCATCCAGAGCCTCCCATCTACAGCCAACCTCCTCTCCTCTTCTCATTCCGCCTTCTCGCCTCTCCGCATTGTCCCAGCGATACCAGTAAGATCATCAATGCATGCTTCTTCAAATAAGAGTTATTACCACTCAAATTTTGGAGTCACTTAGAAATGGCTTTTTTCAAACCTGTGGTCTAGAGCAGGGGTAGGGAACTCGAGAGCTGGTGGCCAGCAGGTTTTACATGTGTCCTTGATCCAACACAGCTGATTTAAATGGCTAAATTAGCTCCTCAACATGTCTTGAAGTTCTCCAGAGGCCTGGTAATGAATTAATCATTTGATTCAGGTGTGGTAGATCTAAAACCTGCAGGACACCGGCTCTCGAGGACTAACGTTTCATACCCCTGGTCTAGAGGATCATCCTTTGTGGATTTGATCAGTCTAAAAGTTTTCTATAAAAATATAAATTATAGTAAAGAACTTGCCAGAATATTCTTGAGTCAAGAAATTAGTTATTCCATCAAGTAATTTCCAAAAACATTGAGAACTTTAACACAACTCTGTGTACTGCTACTTTCACAAACGAGCTCAGTCAGCCTTTTAGTGGTATCATTTAATGAGACTCCAATGTGGGTGGTACACCATCTTCCACATTTTCCTATTCTAATTAGAGGTAGTTTTTGGTTTTCAGTTGGTGGTAGTGGTACGCATTATTAGAACAAGAACCTTTGAGGAAGTGGGAATTTTGAGGCTCAGCTGGGCAAATTTATTGTTCTATTATCAGAACAGTTCTCAGCTGTGCTAGTATAATTGACAAAGGGTTTTTCTAATAATCAGTCACCTTTTTAACATGATGACTCACAGGCAACACAATGCCTTGTTCAAAGATGGATAGATTAGATTAAATTAATCATTTACAAGTGTTATAATCCCTTTGATGTTAGATTAAAGTAACCAGCTTTTTTTTTTATTTTTAAAGTTTTTCTTATTGATATGTTACATTTCTCAATTTCTTTTAAACAGTTATTCTTAATAGTTCTTCACAGTAAGATTAATAGATTAGTGCCCAGAGGCACTGAGCTGTCTAAGTTTTTTTTATTTAATTTTTTTTTATCTAGCTTTCTGGTCCCGGCCCAGCTGCTGCTAACACAGCAGTAAGCCAAGGTGAAGAGCCTGTTGGCTACCTGAATATGGCCTTCTCTGCTCCTCCGCCCTCCAGCCCACTGAGCTCGCGGGGTGTTGAGGACATGTCCCACCAGAGACCAACATGCCACAACCCAACCATGCGCAGAGAGCAAGACCGCCTGGACACCTTCCATTCCTGGACGCTCTCAATCATCATGCCTGCTGAACTCGCCAAAGCTGGCTTCTATTACCTAGGGCAGGGCGATCGAGTGGCCTGCTTCAGTTGTGGAGGACAGGTGTGTGTGTGTGTTGTTGTTTGTACTGGGTTTATTCTGCTTAAAGCCCTTTGTTAAAACAGTTATTTTACAATAAAAAAATATGAGGCAGTATTATAAAGATGGGCAACATCATTCAGACACCAAACTGATGAAGTTTGGTTTTGTCTTTCTTCCCCTTTGCAGCTAAGTAACTGGGAGCCAGGGGACAGAGCATTATCTGAACACCAAAGGCATTATCCAAACTGTCGCTTTGTCCGAGGTGACAGGGCTGACAACGTGTCGCTAGCTGGTGCAGCAGCAACTGCATCCTTAGCTGCGAATTCCCAGATGTCTTCAGGAGCCACAGTCCTCACCAATGTGTCCAACCCTGCCATGCAGCAGAGTGAGGAGAGGCTGCTCACTTTTGTTAACTGGCCATCACGTATCCCCGTCCGCCCAGAGCAGCTGGCTAAAGCTGGCTTCTACTACGTAGGTATGGATGCTGTCAAAGAGGCACACCTGTTCAGTGACCTTGACTGATTTACCTTCATTAATTGACGTGTGGAACTTTTTATTGGGAGGTTATGCTACTCATTGGCTGCTGTCTGTAAATAAGGTGCTGTATTCTTCTAAAGTGGCCAAAAAGGCAGTTAATGCTAGTTTCAATATAAAAAATTAATATGGTTGAAAAACCATATTAATTTGTATGTTTTTAGTGCCAAAGTCAGACCCTTGCACGTGTAAATCACAGATGAAAAAGTTTCGTTTGACTTTGGTCATTATAAGAAATGCTTACTAGGTGATAATGTTCCTGGAAATTTACTCAGAATCTTTCCCTTACATGAAGTGGTTGTAATGCCAGTAACTTCGGAGGGTTTTCCTGCTGTTTTTGAGGGAGTTCCACAGAAGAGTTTTTCTTATAGAGTTTCTCTGATTTCACTGGAAAGTCCTCAAATAAAATATATCAAGGGGGACACCTGGTTATAAACTCAAGTGTCATAACGAAACTAAAGTGTGTGTGTGTGTGTGTGTGTGTGTGTGTGTGTGTGTGTGTGTGTGTGTGTGTGTGTCTTCCCCCCTTTCTTAAATTTGCCCAAAGCTTCTTACTGAAACTGAAAGCTCTTTGTTTGCCCCTCCTGAAGGTCGTAATGATGACGTCAAGTGTTTCTGTTGCGATGGAGGCCTGCGATGCTGGGAGTCTGGAGATGATCCATGGGTGGAACATGCTAAGTGGTTTCCTCGGTAAATACTGCTGTTGTAAAGTCGATTTGTCGTCAGTTTTATCCAGAACACAGTGTGCTGTAGAAAAGCGCTGCTTAGGCAAATGGTGTGCGTACCTGCGGTGGTTCATGAATGTTTGTATTCTTGTACCTCTTTTTTAACTGCAGGTGTGAATATTTGCTCCAGGAGAAAGGACAAGACTTTGTTCACCAGATCCAAGCTCGATTTCCTCGGCTTTTTGAGCAAGTTAGTAAAGACAAACACATCTGAGATTTAGTTCAAACATGTGGTTTGGAATGAGTCATTAAAAAAATGCTGTTTTCTCCCTTTTTTCCACAATAGCTTTTAACAAATGGAGACAATAACTCCAGAGAGTTTGTGGATCCACCAGGTGAGTTTGGAAAATGAAATTCTTTACATTTTTGAAAGGTTTGTTAAAATCTCCCCAAAAAGAATATTTAAGAAAAGAATAAACTTTATTGTCCCACATAGGATCTTTAACCAGCAAAATAAGACAAGATAAAAATGAATTCTACCATAATATACTTGCAGCAAACATTCGAGTGCACAACAATGTGATTCCGGACCTTTTAAACTGAGCAGAGTCCTTATTTAAAAGTGAAATAGATGTTGGGAGGACTGAGAGCAGAGAAACGATATAGGATTGTTAACAATTTTATGAGTCTGATGAATAAAAATGTTCTCATATTCTGATCGGAGAGACTGGTGCTCTTTGTTTTCTGTTAAAACTGAAATCCATAAATGTCTGCTTTCTCTTCACTCAGTGGTTCACCTCGGTCCTGGAGAGGAGCGGTCTGAGGATGCCGTCATGATGAACACCCCCGTGATAAAGTCTGCTTTAGAGATGGGCTTTGAGCGAAGTCTAGTCAAGCAAACGGTCCAGAGCAAAATCCTGACCAGTGGAGAGAACTACAGGACAGTCCAGGAGCTGGTCTCAGACCTGCTGAGTGCAGAAGATCAGAAAAGAGAAGAGGAGCGAGAGATGCTGGCAGAGGCGATGGCATCAGGTGGAGTTGACATTGATACTGTTCTCACTCCCTTAATTTATGGAAATGTAAAATCAAATCGGTTTAGGTGTTCCGTTGCAGTGAAATGATAATCTTTCCTTTCCTTTCAGATGGCTTCACCTTTGTGAAGAGACACCAGGCAGCTTTGATCCAACGACTAAAGAGTGTAGAGCCACTGTTTGAGCATTTAAGAGATCAGAATGTGTTGAGTATGTAAAATTTTTAGCCCTCATATCTCAACAAACACAATTTTTGTCTGAATTCACATCCATTCTTGGTTAAATAACAAATGAAAATCGGAAACATAATTTTGTCAGCAAAACCCTAATCATAGAGCCAGGGTTACATTTTTGTGATTTAAAAACATGGAGACGAAAGACCTGCACCTGGTGCCGATGCACAAACCTAGAGTGTTTGGTGTCAGGGGCAAATACTGTTAAATCAGATGGTGGATTTCTGGGTAGCCTCTGTTCTCAGTTTTAAATAAAGGTACAACATAACTTGAGGTGCAACAGTGTAATATTTTGTTGCATCTTTTATTTCAGCTGCTTAAAGTGTTTCACGTGTGCCCTTCTTTACCTGCAGGTGCTGAGGAGTATAGCGGTCTTCTGGCTCAGACATCTGCTCAGCAGCAGACTGCCAGGTTGATAGAGCTCATCCTCACAAAGGGAAATGCGGCAGCTGAGGTCTTCCGCAACTGGATTCAGAAAAATGACGTCCACCTGCTCAGAGATCTCATGGGTATGTGTGTAAGCAGTTCAAATACAGACGGGTTTGCACTGGAAACCATGACGGTGATCAAACTGTAGCTCAGTGGTTAAGTGCGTGCTGTCTTTTCTGCTTGTAGCTCAGTCGAACGAAGCTGCATCGCCAAGCCAGGATCTTTCAGGTATGTAGCCTGAAGCAGAGCTCACTGTCCTGTTAAATTGTTTTGTGTTCAACTCACTTTACTGTTTAATTACCATCTCTTCCATTTACCTAATTTTTTTTTCTTTTTTAAAAATCTCCTTTGTATTACAGACCTCCCAATGGAGGAGCAGCTGCGGCGCCTACAGGAGGAGCGTACATGCAAGGTGTGTATGGATAAAGAGGTCAACATCGTCTTCATCCCCTGTGGACACCTGGTGGTGTGTAAAGAGTGTGCGCCATCACTGCGAAAGTGCCCGATCTGCAGAGGCCTTGTTAAAGGCACAGTTCGAACCTTTCTCTCATAAGCAGGAGATCTGCTGTCACAGTTTTATCATGTAAATCTAATTAATAGGCTACAGTTTATATTTATTGGAAAGGGTGGCAGGGTAATTGCACACCTTTTCTTTTTCCAACTTGTATGACTCACAAGTTTGTAGATTTATCTACATAACGAGATGAAGCTCGCAGACTAACCGTATCTGAAAGTGATGTAGAGTTGTAATGCTCATGCTTTTACTTATACTTTACCCTAAACTTAACAAGTCAGAAAATAGATGAAAACACAATGTTCAGTGCAATCTGTCTACAAATGACATGCTTGAATTTTAATAAAACAATCACTTTCAGAGTTGCATCTGTTATTGTGGTCTTTTCATTCATGCAGTAGATGTGTTTGCTACTGAGATAAAAAGGCACCTTTCTTTTAAATCATGGATTCTATCAAGCCCGATGATGATAGCTGTTAAACAACGATCATGACTGTAGTGGCATTGCTTTCACTGCTGTTGATATATTAATTGTCCTAGTTTGTCAAACATTAACCTGCATGTGCCAAAGAAAGTGTCAGTGCAAGCTGAGTGCCATATGTTCACTCTTTAAATTAAGCCACAAAGAGAAACTGCATCAGATGATTACAGGGGAGTCATGTACAGTAGGTTGATGCTTTCAATACAGAAGTAAAGAAAGTACTGTGATTGTCTGGTGATAGGAACAATTACAGAGGGCATAGATCAAAATGTCCTCAGTCTCTTCAGCAGCATGACAAAACAATAACAAATAATGCAACAAATCAAATAATTGATTAAAAACTAAATACTGTCAAATTCATGGCTAAAGAAAGTGTAATTGTTCAAATAGCATATTGTCCTGTTTAGACATAGAAAGAAATTGGCACCATGATGTGTTTTTCAAGTGTAACATTTCTGTATAGACCAGACACAGACTGATTCCCAGAGTGAGTCTGCAGCACTTTGGCTCTGCACACATGCTTCTGGGATTCATGGCGTTCACTGAGCGTGCTGCTCATGGTGAAGTTCACACTCTCAAGAATCCTGTCATCTGTAGTCAAATTTATTATTAAAAACAAGCACAGCTGTGACAGCAAGGTATAAATGATGAACCATTCAGCTAGCTACAATTAAAGATTTTCTACATAGTGTACATAACACTATGTACACTATATATGCGATGTTTGGGTTACAGGAAGCATTGTGGGGGTGTGTACAAGGGCATCGTAATAAAATATAATAAATAATTAAGGGTGGAAGGGCTATGGTCGTTGAATGATGGAAATTGCACATCTGCCAAAATATTGCACGGAAACAAAAAGAAACACACACAAAACAACATAAATAGCAAGTAGCAGCAACAGAATGATTGTAAAAAAAAACCTCTTAATTTGCATTTATGGTTCTGAGAGCCCATGGGTAAAAGTTGTACTTGAGTCTGTTGGTTTTGCACCTAATGAATCGGAACCTTTTTCCAGAGGGCAGGATGTTGAAGAGGTGGTGGTTAGGATGGAGGTGGTCTTTTATAATTGCCCAGGCTCTGGAGAGACATCTAGAGCCAACAATGGAGTCCAGGGTGGAGAGTGGACAGCCGATCATCTTCTCTGCATTTCTGATGACCCTCTTTATTCTCTTTTTATCGGCTGTTGTACAAGCAGTGTACCACACGGGGATAGTGTGCACCAGCACACTTTCGATTGTGGCTCAATAGAAATACCGTATTAGGTCAGTCTGCAGCCTTTCAAATCTCAGAACCCTCAGGAAATGGGAAGCGCTGTTGGGCTTTCTTCACCAGGGCTGACCCAAATATGTGGGTACCAAGGAACTTAAAGGAGGATACCCTCTCCATGCAGTCACCCTTTATGGATAGAGGAGGGAGATCGGCTTTTGGGATGCAGTCGCTGGTGCAGATGGTGTATAGGAGAGGACTAGGCACACATCCCTGTGGTGAGCCATTGCTGAGTGAAAGGGTGGTTGACTGATTGTGATACTTCTGTGTGTACCGCCACAATGTGCAACGATGCCTTGTCACACTCTTTTGCTGTGGAGTGAACCAGGAATGGGTGAGCACTGCTAATATTATGTATAACTGACAAATATTTAAACTGAAAATAGAGCAAGCAGATGTTTAAATCACAAATTTCCCCTCTTCTTACTGTTCTTTTGTGCTCCAAAAATATCATTAACATGTATAAACTTTTATAAAATGCGTAAATACAGTCAGTAATCTCAAACTCGCTATCAGGAGAGCTTAAACTAATAAATTTAGCAGGTTCTCATCGTCATCAAAGCAGATTTGTACTAAAAAAACTAAAATTAGAAACTGCTATCAAATGTAAGTGTTGGCATAAAAAAGGGATCACAGCCAATCGCTCACAGGTTGATAATTAAATGTAAGTGCTTAGATAAGCACTGATTATTTCCTATGCTGGAGAAAAGTGCATGCATTTCACTTTCAGGATGGAGCAGTATTTCCACAGCTTAACTGAATCATAATTACAATAACTCAAGTGTTTGTCAAAGGTGTAAATTACACTCCAAAAAACACACAAGATGACTGAAGAGCTTGTTTATACAAATATTTATTTTTATTCCACAAGTCTCTTCGACTGCTGTTTAGATGATGCCAATCTGCAAATAAAATAAAAAAGGATATTAATTACACAATGTTCATCAACAGAGTCGTCACATCTGTATCTGCACTGTTTTGCATCAGTGGTTCCTTTGAATGCATCACAGACATTCAGCGCAAATATAAAGTTTACATCACATGCACATGACTGATATGGCTTCAGAAAGTCAACAGCGGAATAAAGGCTCACCTTGTTTGCAACATCCAACGCATCGTAATCAGGTGCGAGACGGACGTACGCCTTCTTCTCACCATCAGGCCTGCACGTAAAGGCATGTTTATTCACTACTGCTCACTACAAACATGTTTAGAATGTTTTCTGTTTTTAGATTGGTGCATCAGAAGTTTAAAAAACTGGAATCATGCTTTTTCATACTTTGATCGCTATTACCATCATGTGCACCAAATTGGCTGTTATTGGCTGTCAGATGTGGCAAATTCAAATTCATTACTGGGACATAGATGGACAGATATCAGGCAAATCATTTACCAGAAGGCTAAAACAAATTATACACACACACACACACACACACACACACACACACACAGTCATTTCAATGCTATACAAAATTAATGGGTAAAAAAGGGTCCCATGACCCCCTCCACAATAACATCGGTTGGAAATCTTCCTGTAATATCCTGATGTGTTGGTTTGTCTTGTTTTCAGCACATCCACTTAAATGTCATATTTATCCAGATACTTGCACAGCGTATGATGAGTATATATGAAGTCAATGCTTCCTTCATGGGAAAGTGTAAAGGACTGAAAAGGTCTGTATGAAGTTGGCTTTCGGCTCAGCCTGTGTGAGGATTTCTACCTGATGAGTGTGTTGACTTTGGCGACGTCAATGTCGTACAGCTTCTTGACAGCGTGCTTGATCTGATGTTTGTTGGCCTTGACATCCACAATGAACACAAGTGTGTTGTTATCTTCAATTTTCTTCATAGCAGACTCTGTTGTCAAGGGGAACTTGATGATGGCATAGTGATCCAACCTATAAAATAAAATGCATAAGTTCTTTGGTCAGAGGTCCTCACTTAATTTCAAAGTCTCTACAATATAATTAAAGGTTAACTGCTTATTAACTATTGCTCACTACAAACATGTTATAAAAAATTTAAGATTGGTGCATCAGAAGTTTAAAAAAACTGGAATCATGCTTTTTCATGCTTTGATCGCTATTACCATCATGTGCACCAAGGTCCATGTTTGTGACCTGCGTGAACTGTTTGTAACTCACTTGTTCCTGCGAGGAGCACTCTTGCGGGGATATTTGGGCTGTCTGCGGAGACGGAGGGTTTTAGGGCGACGGAAGGTGGGAGAAGTCCTGACTTTCTTCTTCCTGTGGCTGTGTACGCCTTTCAGCACAGCCTTCTTGGCCTTCAGAGCCTTTGACTTGGCCTCAGTCTTGGCAGGGACAGCTATGATTGGGAGAAAAGAAAGTTACCACTATTAGACAGTGGTTCATTATTCTTGGCTTTGTCAATATGGCAAAGAACACTTTGGAAAATATCACAGCACTGTCAAGTCAACCTGTGGCCCACATACCACATACAATGTACACAGCAGGTCATCTACTGAATACTGTAATGATTTGTAGCTGATCCAGTGAAAGCCACATTTACACTGACACAAATACTAAAATAAGCATTATATACAAATGAAGCTGAATGGATCTGCCTCACAGCTATTTCAAAGTTAGACAGTACTTGCATTGAATCATGATCTTAAGATACATGTGCTTAAAAGACATGGGAGTTTACTTCTTACTGCTCAGTATGCACACAACCATATCTGCCGTCCACACAGTATTAACACCCAGAAGGCAGATTACTAGCACACCAACACGCTCTCAGGGTTTTTTTACGTTACAGGAAGTATCGCTGACTACAACAGCTAAAACTTCAACAGTCAAATTTTCAATAACATCAAAGAAATTTAGAGATGCTCTCACGCGCTGCTAATGCAACGTTTTAAAGCCTGCTCAGGCCATTGCTAACATGAGCTAAAACACCTAATCCGCAGACATATCTGAGTTAATGAAGCCATAATGAGATGAACTAGCTAAGCCGTGTCCATAAGAGACAACTTAACAAGAAAACATTAGATAAATGTAACTGTAAACACATGCGATTTCATCAACAGCGGCTTGATTTAGCTTAGCTTAGCCAGCATCACGTTACAGTCTACATGCCGGACCCACACTCTTGAGATATCCACATATTTACAGCTCTGACAGCAATAACTTGAGCTCAAACAAAACAATTTCACTATATTCCTTTATACCGTACACATACGGTATAAATAGAGGCACCAAGTCAACTAAAATATACGATTTATTCATTCAAAACTGGTAGATTCACAAACCTTCCTTCTTCACCTTCGGTGCCATGTTGAGAAAGGAAGACTGAACGGGGTTTCCTGCGGTATATTGCATGGGCGAGATCTCATAGCAAATGTATCGCGATAGTTCGGAAATTTGCTTTTTTGCTATCACATTGATGAAAAGTTGCTCCGAAAATACTTTGTTTGCATGACTCTCAAATTTATTACAATAATCTTTTCTTTCTTTATATAAATTCATGAAAAAATAATTATGTAATTAGATAAACATATCTCCCCTCTCTTTAAGCACCAGACTGTTGTTACAGTGCTGTATGTGTAATTATTGAAGGAAAATAGGTTTCAGTTAGGTTTCAACAGTTTGGACTGGC